TTTATGTTTGAAGACTTGATCTTTCAAAAATCTTTTATTTTTAATGAAAAGGGGTCTTCAGTGTCGTAAAGGTTGGGAGGCAGCAAGCTAAAATGTCGAATGTTTTGACAGGGGCCTGCTGGTGACTATATCCCTCCCTTTGATGTATGAGCCCTAAGAACCTCTGAGCTATGTCGGTGTGTCCCCAAAGCACAGATCCAAGGGAGAAAGGGGAAAAGACACTCTGCTAACAGCGGCTAATGTCATTTCCAGTTAACTGGCTTTTGGCAGATATGGTACAGATGTTCAAATGACCTCATTAGGGACCAGGATGTCAACAACAAGACAGATACAAACAGAGCCCTGCTTAAGATTCCTGCAGATTCCATGGGTTTGGAATCCCTTAACTCATTTCCCAAGCATTCCAAAGGGTGGGAATTTCAGGCAATGGCATGTGGCATTATGAAAATTTTAGGGAAGATGGAGCTTATATTAGTTAAGAGAGGCTACCTTTGCTGCAATAACAAAGAACCCGCAAAGCTCTCTCTCTCTCCCCTTCTATTTCACTCTGTGGGCTGGCCTCATCCTCTGCTATATCATTTGGTCTCCCTGCAAGCAGCATGGAGAGACTAGGCACAGCCTCCAGAAGTGTCCGGGTTTACATTCACTTGTATCTCTCAGTCACCTATGTAAAATCCTAAGGAAGGACCTTAGGATTCAAGGTTCATACATCTGCTTTCCCTGCTAGACTATAAGGCTGCAAAAGGCAGGGAATGAGTCTCACTCTGCTGCCTTCTGCAGTCTCTCTTAACCTGGAATCACCCTGTAAGGGACACTCAGTAAACGTCGTCCGGCTGAATAGATTAGCAAACCACTCAGCACAAACCAAGAAGAAAAGAACTAAAAACAGAGAAGACTGGCAACAGAGGTGATTTAGAAACAGACTAGTCAACTGTTGATCAAAATTTTGTTACATTCAACAGCAGTAGCTATTCTGAGAGAGCCCTGGAGATGTTTTATCCAATAAACTCTTTCCAGAGCTAATAAAAAAAATTTCTTGCATGGTGGTTTACAACACAATTTTACATCCCCCCCACCGCCCTTTTTAAAACATCACTTCAATACAATCCAGCAAATAGTAAGGAGAGTCTTCCAGGTGCCAGGCTCTGTGCTCAGTGGTAGGCTATGGCAGTAGGAACAGGTCCTTGCCCTCAGAGAACTCTCAGTGAATGTAGTACTAAAGAGAAAGATTCAATAATTGAAGAGATAATAATAGCTGATATATTTACAGAGAGCATTTGCTATGTGTCAGACACTAGACTGGGTGCCTAACACATATTAACTCAATTCATGCTTACAACAATCCTTTGAGACAGATACTATTACGAGCCTTGGAAGTTGGGTGACTTATCCAGGGTAAGCAACTGACAGAGCCAGGATTTAAACCCATGTAGTTTGGCTCCTGAGTCTATGCTCTTAGCCATCATAACTGTACCACCAGCCAACCACAGTGTTAGGAGAGTTAAAATGGAAAGTAAAGGGGTCAAGGAAGGCTCTAGCATTTAACCCAGTCAGATCTTAGAGGCACATCTGCCAGTCTGAAATCCAGTGTCCTTCCCGCCAGTCTGGGCATAAAGGCTCCATGCAGTGGCTGCATTATTAGCTGCACTTACAAGTCTCCAGGGGGCTCCAGATATAACTCCGCACTGGTGTTCTCCCAATCGTCTGAGCATAAATGGCCAATAGGTTCTCTCCAGACCCCACAAAAACTTAGGAACGAATCATCCTTCTGGTAATTGCATTAACTGAATGTTTTTGTTTGTTTGTTTAATTTAGGAGTTAAAAAAGAATGACCTTGTGTTTAAAATTGTGAAATAACAATTAGAAGTTATTTGCTTATATTTATATTTAGAATTAAAGGATATTCATATGAACAAGTACAAAACAGGGGGTAATGGGGTTGGCAAGGGATTGAGGGCCTTCAGAGAGATGGATTATTGTTCATTCAACTGTAATGATTAACAATTAAAAATCCACTCTTGCAGTTCCCCATGTCTGGGGAAGGATAGAAGTTTTTTTGTTGTTTTTTGTTGTTTCAGGGCTGAAACAATAAGTCACCTCTTTCTTTCCAGGGAATGCATTAGAATAAGGGGTTTCCCAAGACCTGGACAAAAGCCAGTATATTTGGGAGTCAAGGTCCCATCCCCCTCCTTCTGGCCTCCGTCATTGCAGGTCCTTGTAAGGTAAGTGCTCAGGCTTGAGAGCTCAGCTGAGAGGGGAGAAGGGGCTGGCCACCTGGAAGCATTAACCCAAAGAGGCGCAGTGTAGGTGGGCCTGGGTGGCAAAAGCAGGGCAACAAAGTAAGCCCAATAACAGCTCACTCTTAGCATTTATTGAGTACTTATTATGGCCAAACATGAGTCTACATACTTCACATTCAGTAGTTCATTTAATTAGGTTGATATAATTAGTATCCCCATGTTGCAGGTAAGAAAAGTGAGACACAGGGGTTTGATCTTGCTCAAGACCATACTTCTAGAAAGTGGAGGATCCAGAATTCAAGCTCAGGTAGGATGACTCCAGTGTCAGCACCCTTCACCAGGATGCCACAGCAAAAGGGTCTTCCTGAAATCACCGCTATGCTGATTTGGGTTTTGACACCTCAGAATTCTTCAGAGAGCACCTCTTTTATGAGCTCTGCTGGCCCCGAACTTGATAATCTCCAGTGATTTTTGGCTTATAGCTGCCTTGTTACAAATTGACAACTTAATTTTAACCCCAGAGCTTCTTTTCCTGGGTAATGTGGTAGGGAGGCGACAGAGAGAGAGGAAGACAGACAGACAGAGAGAGGTAGGCTAGCTATTATTTTAGAAGAAGTTAGACAGCAATATAACCAGCCTCTCACCCAAGTGATTAAAAAAAAAAAAAGCCATTGTTGAGGCATGTTTGCACCAAAAAGAGAGAGATTTTCCTGAATCATTTCTAATTTTGTATTTAGGCTTCACACTTTTCCTGGGGCCTCTGGGCAGGCTTCCAGACTCGGGTATCCACAGTTGACTCTGAGCTCCCGAGGTAAGTGATCTGTCACTCCCAGGTCTGGGGAAGGGGAGGGCAGAGGCCTGGACAGACTGTGCTTGGCTCAGCACCCTGACATTGTACATACTAATGCAATGTGAAGTAGCACGTCTAAATAGCCTGTCCAACTTTTTTGATGTTCTTGAACCCACAGATGGGATTCATTTCCACACTGTACGCAAAACGTAAACGATACAAGGACATTAAAGAGCATTAAACTACTTGATGACATTTTGGTCACATTAATAAAAAGTGGCATTTTTAAAACTACCAGAAAGAAAGAGAAAGAGTTTGGGAGTGGAGAGGGGAGGGATGAAGAAGAAGAGAGACAAAGCAGGGATGGGGGCAGGAGGAACAAGAGAGGGATTTGAATTCATCTAAAGTATAGAAGAAATGCTGGCAGTCCCAGCTCTTCTCAACCCAGTTGGGACTTCATTTAGTATAACACAAGAAGCAAACCTTTCTGGACAGATCTGTGGAACATACCCACATCTATGTAGTGAGTGGTGCAGACAGACTAAGATATTAGTGTTTCCTTCCAGACTGATTCGTTTGGGCCAAAATAAACTCATATATCATTGAGACATGAGAGAGGACAAGAGGAACATCAGACTCACCTCCTCCAGGAAGCCTTCCATGAGTACCTCCTCAGGCTAGATTAGGTGTCTCTTCTCTGGACTTCCAGAAGCCCTAAGCTTACTCTCATCATAGCCTACATCATCATGACATTTCATCACTGATTGACTTGCCTAAATCCTCCCTAGACTGCGGGTTTGTTGAGGGCATAAACTAGGGTGAGAAGCATACATTTAAAGAGACCTATGTCTCTCCAAATTGTTGGGGTTCAAATCCCAGCTAACCCTTGTATTGGTTTTATGACCTGAAGCATAATTAATTAAGCTCCCTGGGTCTCAACTATGCCATCTATAAAATGGGGTAAAAGGAAAACCCAGTTCATAGAGTTATAATGATTTCTAAATGAGGTAATGAATGAAAGGCACATAGCCCCATGCCTGGTACACATACACTTGACATATGGTCTAGATTAGCATTAGCATTATGCCCAGCACCCCAAGCACTTGGCACATAAAAGGCACTCAATAAATACAGTACTGTTAAATCAATGAATCTCAACAGACTCACTTAGAAAAAATCACTTCCCAAGGGGACTAAGGAATTGAACACGAAGCCACAGAAAGTGAAAATGGGTGGCAGAGACATTTAATAACTTGTTAAGTCCTGGGCACCTTGTTTTAAAATAAAAAACCAGTACTGGTCTCTCTCTGGAGTGCCTGGGGAGGTGTCCTGCTCCCCTAACCAACCATGGCTGGTGAAGGAAGGGCGAACAGCCCCCACTCCCGCCAGCAGCCCATGCCCCCCTCCCCTCACCCACTGCCTTGGCAGAGCTCTCTCCTTCCAGCCCTGGTGGTTACATTAATTGCTAATGACAATGGCAACCTTCACTCTGTGTGGTTTCCTGCCCAGATTCTGGATCCTTTACAAGGCTCCCTTTTCTTTTTTCCCAGATAGGAAATGCAACCCGAGACGTGTGAAGAAAAAAACAGTGTGCTTATTGTCATAGCCTCCACTTCTCGGCTGGGCCCGGCTGTGTGTGCTCTGGGGTGTCTGCCCCGCCACAGGGAAGAATAAACCCAGACTCAAATCATAGGAAATTCATCAAATGTGCTTCTCAGAGCTCTGTCTTTCAAGGTCTGTTTCCTTGCCATATGATCTCTATAAACCAAATCACTGTTAGCCAGGGCACAGGACCAGAGGCGCCGGAGGCTCATGGATAATGAATGCCAAATGCATGTGACAATAGACTGATCAGAGAGCAGAATAGAAATTTCTGAGTTGTGCTTTTATATATGTATACACACACAGATAGGCACACACCTATGTGTGTGCACACACTCAAGCACACACACATGCATGCATATCACACACACACACACACACACGGGTCAAGCACACAATACATCTTAATGTATAAAGGCCAGTTGTGGTCCTTGGTGCCAGACTCAGATAACTCATCTCTCAGTTACTTTGTCAAGACAAAGAAGCCTGTGGATCAGAAGGATAAAATGGAAGAGAAAAACAAATCAGAACCCCGTTTAGCTGGGGACACTTAATGTGGAGGAGTCACAGATTTGACTTTGAAATTTAGGATGCCTTGCACTCAGCAACTAACACAGGACACAGCACACAAGGGAGCCTCAACTGAAAAATGAAAATCAAGGACTTATTCCTGGGCACCAAAGGTAAGCAGGAGAAATTGCCCTAAACGGAATGAATTATTGTGTGATCTTTTCCAATAATGGCTTTGACCCCTCCTAGGTCTGATCAACCCCTTCACTCACTAACTAGTTTCCAGTGTGACCAAGACGGAGAACACAGGACAGAAACTAGCAGGCCACCAGCTGAAGGCAAAAAGGTAATTAATGTTATAGCCTTTTAGATTCTAGAAAATACTGCACTTAAAACTGCAAGTCAACTAAGCGGCTGTCGGCAACCGATAAATGCTTCCATATTCACAGGCATCAGCAGTCTTCCCCTTACAAAAAAAGTAATAATACATACATATTAATGGATCACATTTTGTCCTTTGGGGAGCATAATTTTTAAAAGGGCCAAGGCAGCAATAATAGTTCCTTTAAAAATTCTAAATGCTGTAATTGTTTTCTCTGAATTATGGTGCTAGGATTTAATTAGTGATGAATGTTCAGTATGGGGTTTAGACATTTTTGATGAATTCAGCCAAACAGAAAAGTAGTCTTGTCCTTATTGCTCCCACCCGGGCCCCCGCCCTTTTTTCTTCCCTAGAATCCTGAAATGTGCGTGTGCAAGAGCACATGTCCACGAAGGGATTTTATTTTCTGCAGTTTCACTGTAGCTAAGAAGTAGATTGCCTTAACCACAGTTCAACAAGGAACGTGAAACATGGTCAGTGAGGTCATGCAATTCAGCACAAGTTTTGAGGTTTTCTGGTTATAAGGAGGAAAAATAATAAAATGTAAATGGTAGAAATTTATTTTTGGCGATGTTCTTATCATTAGGAAGAAGTTGCCCAGGTCTTGGGCCCGGGCTCCCTGGGCTTAAAGGGCTCACGGACCAAAGCGCTAAAGGTGTCAGGGGAGAGTGGTATGGCACAGAGAGGAAGGGCTTTCTTCATTCATTTGAGGAATAACCATTTAGCAAGACCTACTGGGTCCAGGCTCTGAGCTGGGCATTGCACACAGGGCCCTGGCAATGGAGTCCCTGCCTGGGGATAAATACAATCGCTTTGTTCTTCTCCAAACCACTTCTTTGTAAAAGCAGCTGGAGAGAAGCCCAGACCAACAGCCATCCACACAGACAGAATCAAGGAGGCCTACATAGCAGGGCCCCTGGGGGCCATGCCTGCCCCTCCCATCCACCTTCAGGACTTCTTTCATTTGAGACCTGGAGGCTGTTCCTGGTTCCCAGTATCTTTCTATTAACATGCAAATACTCCTGGGAAAGGTCACACCTTGAGACCCCATCAGCTAACCTCTTGCTCACCAGTTACTTCTTAGCAAGGATTAGCAGAAATAGAACACCAAGAGAAGGCTTGGGGGTGAGGGCTAGGGGGAGGTGAGGGCTCATAGGGAGGGAGGTGAAAGACCTTCCTACTGCCAAGATTTTCCTGGACAGTCGAATTGATTTAATGTAATACAATAAATCAATGATATTAGTTCAATAAAGGTTGATCTTTTTACACTGTAAAACAAACTAAAATCTCATTTGCATACCATCAAAAGTACTATATTTAAATTAATTCGCAAATTAGGTATTATTTTGGGTTCCATCACATGTTCCAGATAGAGCATAGGAACACAAGGTCTTCCCCATTGCCCTGATTGTGCTACAAATAGCATCTGCTTCACAATCTTGCCTAAAGAGTAAAAATGCTGCCCCCAATCCCTAAATGGCAGACCCAGGTGGTCAATGGAGGTTTTGTTCACTCTGTCTAGCACCCCTCTTTTTTCTCTCTATCTTCTCCCTCCTCCATTCCATTCTTCTTGCCTCCCATCTCAAGACCACCCTCCTCCACCATAGGCTTCTCAAGAGTACTGTTGAGGCCCAATGGTTTAGCTGCTACAGAGCTTCCATCACACTTCCCAGTGAGGTCCTGCCATCCTGGAGAGGGTCCTTGTTAAAAGCATAGGGTCCTGAATCTGTCAGAAAGACTGGAGTTCAAATTCTGTCTCTGCCATTTCTAGATACTGGAGACAAGTGACTTTCCTCATCATTTGTCTTTTGAGAGAATTAAGTGCAATTATAGTAAGTGCTCAATAAATATTTGTTACTGCTGTTGTTATAACACACTATCTTCTTTATAAAATGAGATTGCAAAATAATGTGCAGGAAATTTTTTTAAAAGCACCATGGTGAGTGTATGTTACCAGTGTATTCCCTTAAGGAAATGTTTACTTTTTTAAACATTGTTGTCATTGATCATAATTGCTATTTATTCATTGTTTTATTCATTCAACAAACATTTAGCATAAGCCTACTATGTGCAACACACTGAGGTAGGTACTTAGGACACATAAATGAGTAAGCCTGATCCCTGGCTCCTGGGAACTCACATCTAACAGATAAAAGCAGAGTGAGAAGTAACAGATATTCATAAAAAGCTATGAGAGGCCGGGCACGATGGCTCACACCTGTAATCCCAACATTTTGGGAGGCTGAGGCGGGTGGATCACGAGGTCAGGAGTTCAAGACCAGCCTGGCCAAGATGGTGAAACCCTGTCTCTACTAAAAATACAAAAAAAAAAAAAAAAAGCCAAGTGTGGTGGCAGGTGCCTATAATCCCAGCTACTCGGGAGGCTGAGGTAGGAGAATCACTTGAACTCAGAGGTTGGAGGTTGCAGTGAGCCAAGATCATGCCACTGCACTCCAGCCTGGGCAACAGAGTGAGACTCTGACTCAAAACAAAAACAAACAAACAAAAAAGCTATGAGAAAACTGTCATTAAAGAACCCACTGTCTGGGGATAGTTGGTACAACATCCAGAGAGGTATTTGAGCTGAGTATTAAAGAAGGATAATATTAGTATTTATTGCAATGTATTGGGACTGTTCTGCATGCCAATCACCGAGTAGGGGTTTAATCATTTTCCTGTAGTCTACATAATAAGTACATAAGGTGAATACTTTGTCATTTTGCAGGTGAGAACACTGAGTCTTAGGGAGGTTAAGAGAAGTGCCTATAATATTTCAGTTGGTATATCAAAATAATTGAGATTTCAACCCAGATCAGCATGGTTCTGAAGGCTACACTCTTCCTTGAAAACAAATGGGCCAATCGGCGACTCAGGTGAGGAAAAAGAAAAAAAAAATTGTCGTGTGATTTATAGGCACGTCTTCAGGGTTTTTAAAAATGCAATATATGATACATACAAAATAAATTGCTGATGCATTTACATTTCTATATTTGGATATATAAATGTATATTTATTTTTTTAAAAAATTGTATGTATATAGTATATAATATGTATATATGTATGATTATTTTTTAGATGAATAGCTTGTCAGGCATTTTGATACTTAGAAGAAGAGGGTTATATCTCTACCAAATATGATAATTTTTTATACATATTGGTAACCTTCTTTTTCACTTAACAACAATTAAGAATATATTTTTGATGTCAGCAAATCTATGTCTATATCATCCTTATTAATCCTGTTACATGTTCTTTGAATGGACAGCTACCATCATTTATTTAACCTATTCTCTCTTCAAACATTTAGCTTCATTTCAATTTTTAAAATTATCATGAATAATGTTGTGATGATCATCCTTTGCACAAATGCATATTTGTCTAATCATTCTCTTAAGATAAATTTTTGGAAGCGAAATTGCTGGGTCAAATGTTTAAGATCATTGATGTATTTTGCCGCATTGTGGCAAATGTGAAATGTATTTGAAATGTATTTGCACATTTCATCATGTGCAAATTTATACTTTCCATTAACAGTTTATGAAGGTGGCCTGACATTTTGGCTTTTGTTTTATATTGCTATGTTTCTTTTTTTAATCTTACTGATAAAAGGACTTAAAGTCCTTTAAGTACGAAAGCAATGAACCCTTTGTCTTTCACATATTCCATAGTGTATTTGCCATACAGAAATATTTCATTCTTATGTAGTAAAATATATACATTTTTTATGGTTTCAGTTGCTGATGCAATATTTAGGAAAACTTTCCCTAATCGTGATAATAAATTTCCCTTTAGATACTTTCGTGTCCTCAGTTTTTACATTTTATTTTTTATTTAATTCAGAATTTTATGGTGTGAGGTAGGAAGAAAAAATCCAAATTAATATGTTTTTGGGTACCATCTTTTGCTCATTTCTCCACAAATGAGATATCACTTCTATTATATACCAAATAATAATATGGAGGAGTGTTCTGTTATTTTCTGCTGATCTATTCATCTATTTTTTCACAGAATTATGCTATTTTAATTATTACTGCTCTATAGTATATTTAATATCTAGCAGGGCTAGTCTCTTCTCATTTTTCAATGATTTTAATGTAGTCTTTTCCACTTTTTTTTAGTTCCAGAAATGAGGGTATGAGGTAGAGGACAACTTTTGAAAGTATGACAGTAATATGCATGACAAGGGGTATTGTGGTTTATTAAAAAATAAAATCAATCTCATAATTTTATAGACATAGTTCATTTCCATGAATGATGTGATTCTGGCACTTAGAGTCTGGCATGCTCTATCTGTCATTAAACTTACTGTATTCTGTTTGCCAAGGACCTCGGCAGGAGGCTTTGTTCATTCTGTCTACATGGAAAGCCAATATAGCATCATAGTTAGGAGTGTAGGATCTAGCTGTGTGACCTTGGGTGAGCTATTTTACCTCTCTGAGCCTTAGTGTCCACATTTGTAATAGGAGAGTGACAATACACTTCCTCATAATATGTGAGCTACTACATATGGAAGGCATTTAGAACAGTGCCTAGCACAGAGTCAATAAACGTGAAATACTCAATGAACATTAACTAGTATCATTGTGTACCAGTGGTCTTGTCATTCCAGGAGTTTGCTGACTTGTCTTCACTTGGAAGGAGAAGATTGAAGGAAAGACATTAAATCAGGAAACACGGGTTAAATAAAATAAAATTTCACAAGCCTTTGCATGTGTTTTTATGACTGAAAAATTATTGTTAAGTTGTTATTTCTCATGGCATCCAGGGTGCTAGGTCTTTAAAGCAAGCTGTGGCCTGGCTAATAGAGGGGCCATGTAGTGTCAGAGGACACCTTCTACATGAGGACCCTGAACAAGCCAGTTCATCTAAACTTGCCACAGAGTCTACACAGCACTCTCACTTTGACCTTTGGCAATCTAGTCAGCTGAGAGCTCAGATTTGCCGTCAGACTTTAGTTCTCCCTCTCGCCTCTGCTCGGAGCAGATCTCCGCTGCTATCAGCATGGGTATGATCCTGAGCTCTGCAGTCAGACTGCTCTGAAGTAAAAGCCCAGCTCTGCCACAAACCACTTCTGTTTTGGTCCTTTCTAAAGTTTCCTTCAACTGAATAATGAGTATGTTATGCCTTCCCTGCCAGTTTACCATGGGGATTAGGTGAGAATATATAGGAAAGCATTTTACAGAATGCCAGGCATATAGCAGGTGCTCAGTAAATGTTATTGTATCAGTAAGGAATGTTTGATTCTAAGTAACAGAGAATCGAATCCAAACTAGCTTATACAGTGAAGAAAAATTATTGGTTCTGTAGCTGGAGATCCAAGAAAAAGCTGGACTTCAGGAGTAGTTCAATTCAGTTGCCTAACTATGTCACCTGGAACTTGTTTGTCTATTCATTTATTTGTTTCCTCTCTTTACACCCTGCCCATTATATATTCATTTTCTCTCTAAAGCTCTCTCTCTCTCATAGTTCCAAAATGTGAGCAGGTATCCCAGGAGAACAAAATAGGACCACACCCAGATATTTCCCCAGATGAGTTAGAAAAAGCTCTCCCAGAAACCCCCAGCAAATTTCTCTTCTTGCAGTTAAACAGCCAGAATTGGGCCGTGGCCCATCCCTGAACCAGTAATGATGGCCGGAAGAGAGATTATGCACACTCCCTGGCCTGAACCACAAGCCCTAGACATAGAGTCACCTTTTTGCCAGTGCAAGAACTATGTTGAGGCAGTAAGATGGAAAATGAACCAAAAATCAGAGTAATTACAGAGAGAGGGGGAACGGATATAAGGAAAACAACTATAATGTCCACTCCTTGTTTCCTCAGTCCCCAGCAGAATACAGATGAGTGGATGGACAAGTCCTCACCGAAACTTGAGGCCTCAAACTTTTGATTGGATCCTGGATCAATAAAGGGGGAATGCTCAAACCACCATGTAGTGACTAAAAATATTCTTCGTAAACAATAACAGGGAAAATAGCAATAATAATAATGTATATGGTTTTAAAATATTTGCACCTTTTTAAAGATCAAAAATCGCTTTATTCAAAAGCGCTTGAGAAGTAGCTATCTGGATCTATGCTGAAGGCCAAATAGCAAGTCATAGGCACATTTTTTTTTCTCTCTTCAATTCCTTCTGGCCCTGGGACCTTTCTCTTTCAGTTGTTCCCTTTCTCTCTGCATCTCCTCCCGCTTCCCTTTCTCTCTCTGTTTAGATTTTGTTAGCCTCCAGTACCTGGGAAGAAATCTGGAGTGAGAGGGACAGAGGTGCTCCACAGTGTGGGGCTCAAGGCCTGAGTGGTCCCAAGTGAATCCTCAGCCCATTGCCCACTGCAGAGGAAAACTTAGTCTTCCCAAAAGGTTGAATGGCCGAGCCCAAGTGAGCCCTTCATGCCTCTGGGTTGCTAAGCAACAAACACTTCAAGTTTGGAAATCTTTATCCACACCGGATATATTATCCTGGCAAATTGGACTTTCAGATCTGGCAGCAATGGAAAGAGTAACTTTTTTAAAAATAGAGACAATTTAGATGATTTCAAAGACATCTGGTCTCTTTTTCCAGCAATGTCTGACTCTTCTCTTTCACTAAGCGTATTGGATCCAAACACTTCACATGTACAAAAGCACAAGGTCCCCGAAGAAAGAAGTGTTTCAGTCGCAAAAAGCCGACTCACAGAAAGTGCTGCCAGTTGGAAAGGCCTAGAACTGACTAAAGCAACAGCACCAGGGCATATGTTTTAGTTTCTTCCCTCTATTTGACCCTTCTTTTAACCTGGTTTCTTCCAAGTGCCCCTTCCCTCTCACTCTGATCCTCTCTGGTACTAATACTCCTTCCCACCTTCTGTCTTGCCTTCCTTCTTCTTCTCCTTTCTCTTTTCCTCACTCCCACCTTTGTCCCTGCAAACTTCCATCCAGTTTTCTTTCTCTCTATCCTTCCTTCCCCAAGGTAAACACTACACAAGGACAAGAGTCCACACAATGACACAGGCCAGGATCCTGGGTCTTCTTCTTGCTTCTTCAGTGGGGGATGGAGTTGGTTGTTCATTCCTCCTTCGCTCCTAAACAGTCCACAGGAGTGAACTCGTGGTTGAGGTAATCTCAGGGCACATTCTCCCTCCACTGTGTCCTTTAAAAAAATTGAAGACAAATTCAAACACCAAATAGCTCCTCCACCTGCTTGCTAATGCCTAGAATTCCTCCAACAGAGGACATTGCATTCCAGAATTAAAGACCAAGTTTCAAACATAAATAATAAACAACTCACATCTGGGCAGCTCTTAATAGTTTTGAAAACACGTCCAGCTGTTTCTCACCAATTCCCTCATTTGACCCCCACGATAATCTAGAGATGGAAGCATTATCATTACTATCATCTTCATTTCAAAATGAGAAACCTGAGGCTCAGTTTAAGTATCTTTTCTGAAGGCACTTAAGGTGTAACCTAGATCAGTCTGACTGTAACGTCCACATTCTTCTCCATCCCCTCACTTCTCCAAGAGGGAACCATAGTGACTTGGAGTGATGAGAAGCCTTCCCTAAGTTCTTCAGACCCCAGAGTCCCCCTTGATCTCTACCTCTCTGAAATCCTTGACTTGTGATTATTGCTGTTGAAACCTGTCAGTGGGGTATGCTGCCACCAGATGGCAGATGACACTCTGGTTTCATGGAGAGCTCCAGACTTTTACCATAAATAAAAATGGGAGTCAAGTGTTTTTCCATATTTTTATCTCCTTATAATCAAAATTATAGTTCACTAAAAAATAGCCAAACATAACAGCATTCCATATCTACAAAGATGAAGATGATGTGAAGCAAAAATATATACAGTTGTCCCTCGGTATTTTGGGGAATTGGTTCTAAGACCCCCTACGAATATCAAAATCTATAGATGCTCAAGTTTCTTACATAAAATGATGTGACATTTGCATATAACCCCTGCACATCCTCCTGT